CTCGCCCAATCACTCGTGGTAAGTCTTCAGGTGACTTCCGAACCTTCACAAACTCGGTCACTCGGCGATCCACAATTCCTCTTGGATGCTCTAGACCTTGACGCCTAACCGCCTGGAAGAAGCACAGTCTTCAAAGGTAACAAGCATCGGATCCATGCAGGATCAATCTCTTCAGTGATGCTCAATCACTTTGGGTTTGAAGGTTTGGCTTTGGGTTTTCCTCACTTGATGATTTTCGCTCAAAGTCCTCGGAGAATGGGATGCTCTCAAATGACAAGTGTCAGTTTCTCTCGGAGCAGCCAACCAGCTAGTGGTTGTAGGGGGCTGCTATTTATAGCCTAGGGAGCAATCCGACATGATAACACATAAATGCCCTTGTCTTATATGACCGTTAGGTGGTAGGATATTTTGGGACAGCTGGCGTGTAGCACAACAACGGTCGAAATTTTGACTATCAAATTCCTCAGGGCTATCATGTTCCTCACTGTGTAGGCAATTCGCACTGGCGAATTCCTAACTCCTCAGTCAGAACAAATTCCTCAAAGACCAGAAGAACTTCGTCTCTGTCATTGAAGAATATGACTGAACTGTATGAGATTTCCAATGGCTTTACTCGAAGGGATTGGTAGGTGTAGGATTTTGAGTTGAGTATCACATGGAAATTTTTCCTTAGTATTTTCTCGACCCCCTTTAACAGTACGATGTTTCTTATGACTCAAGAAAGAGAAAATGGAACTGTAAAAACAAGAGTCTTCACGCTTCATGTTCCTCGAATGATTACCAAGTCTTCAAGGTCACACCAATTTCTTCACTTTCAAAGTCTTCAGAAAGTCTTCAGACGAAGAACTTCATTTTTAGGGGTCGACTTTCTCTGTAAATATCAAACTCCTCATAGACTTATAGACCTGTGTACACTCACAAACGCATCAGTCCTTAACCTATAAGTCTTCAATACACCAAAATCACTAAGGGGCACTAGATGCACTTACAAAGTCGTGAACTATTATTAAGGTGAAAAGTATCACTGATAAGGTTGTTCATGAAAATACTACTCAGAATCTACAGGAAAACGTTTTCAAAGTGACACATGTAAGACTAAATATCTATGAAAATTCATCTTAATAATCTGAATTACATGCAAAGGATGCACTAAACCTGAATCATTGGTTCTGTTGACGAAGGTTTATCATCCCAAATATGACATTATGGCTTAAAAAATTGTGTTGGAAGGAACTCACCTCAATCTATGCTAATTACTAAACCAAAAAAGTATGCCAAATGATAAGTGTCACACGTGTGGCACGAGGCAATCTCTGGTCTTGACTTTTTTATAACTAAAGTTACCATCCGAAAAAAAAAAACTTGCCATCCGAAAAGAAAATTGTCATGCTGGACAACTAAAGTTGTCATCCTCATGCCATTAAGCTTGTCATAAAAAACGTTCGAGTTGCCATGTGTTCATGCCAAACGTCTAAGACGTGTGACACTTATCATGGTCCAAAATTATTTAGAGTAAAACTAATACAACTTGCACCCTGTCCAAAAGTATTTTACATGATAGATGTATTCAGATATCATTTATTTATTTATCAACTATATATAGTACCAACTAGATAACGTGAAAGTGGAAAAAATAAAGCTTACTTGAATCGGTGGCACGACCATCTTGTTGTGCTCGGGAGAGCTCATCGTGGATGAAAGACAGGAAACGAAGTGCATATGCTTGGAAACTTTTGCCAAAAACAACAGGACATTTATGCACGGCTGATCAACGTATCATAATAAGGCCTAAGATTTGATTCGTGAATTAGCAATCAAACAAATAAAGGGTAGAAAGGTAGAACAACTCTCCCGGGTTGCGCTCTTCTTCTTTCCCCGCTCCCCTCCCTAGGGTTCCCACCCCCGCCGCCGCCGGCGACCCCGCTCTCCCGCCGCCGCCGGCCGCCGGGCGCGCGCCTCCCGGCCCGCCCCGCTCCCCTCCCCCTCTTCCCTTCCCCCTCTCCTCCCCTTCCCTCCCCTCCCGCGGCGCGCCCGCGCGCGCCCGGGGGGTCTCCTGTGG